CTTCCATTTCCTCATCCCAAAAAAATGATCCCAGGTCAGGTGGTGGGTTGCACATTGGGCTCCTAACCACAATGTCAGCAGTTTGAATCTACGGAAGAAAGATATAAATATTTACAGACTCAGAAACTTTATACCGCATCGCTATGGCCCACCAATTGATGGGGTACCAATTGAAATGTTTCAACAAACTTAGGAAGTGCTCACTCATCAATACTAAAAAATTTGAAAGATAGCTAACTGGCCAACCAACTAGAAGAGATTCATGTTTGATCCTATTCCAAAGAAAGATGATCCAACAGAATGCAGAAATTACAGAAGATACTACTAATATCTAGGGAGTGTGGTGGCTCTGTGGGATTAGCACTGGACAGTGAATTAGGTCATTAATTTGAACCCAACAGCCACTCCAAGTAGAAATATGAGGCTTCTGCTCCCACAAAAATTTGCAGCCTTGAAAATCCTATAGAGATTTGCTACTAGTCAGAACTGACGTGACAGCACTTACCAACAACAACAAAGCTGGCAAAACTGCTGTGTTGTAAATTGAAAAGTGCACATTTCTTTGGGGGAGAATTTTTGCTGTAATTAGATACTATTTAGTCAGTTCCAACTCATAGTGACCCTTGTTGTTGTTAGGTGCCAACAGGTCAGTTCCAACTCATAGTGATCCTATACAAAACACTCCCTTGTCCTGCACCATCCTCACAATTGTTATGCTTGGGCCCATTGCTACTGCCACTGTACTAATACATCTCTCTCAAGGTGTTCCTCTTTTTCTTTGACCCTCCACTTTACCTAGCATGATGTTCTTCTCCAGGAATTGGTTCCTCCTGGTAATATGTCTGAAGTATGAAGGATGAAGGATGAAAGCTCCTGGCTTCTAAGGAGCATTCTGGCTGTACTTTTTCCAATACAATTTGTTTGTTTTTTTTTTGGCAGTCCATGATTTTTTAAATATTCTACTCCAACACCATAATTAAAATGCATCAATTCTTCTATGGTCTTTCTTATACACTGTCCAACTTTCACATGAATATGAGGCTACTGAAAATATTGTGGCTTGGGTATTCTTCTCTTTTGGTTTTCTAACTCCAGTTCTTCACATATTTGTTGGTCACAATGGGAGTGATAAATTTCAATGTGAAGAGATTGTTTGTTGTTGTTAAGTACTGTTGTGTTGATTCTGACTCATATCAGCCCTGTTTAGGGTTTCATAGGAGCAACTGGTGGGTCTAAATAATCGACCTTGTGGTTTGCAGTTCAGTGCTTATCCTACAGTGACACACCAGTTGGTAGAATTCTTTAATTTCATTATCACTGTCTTTTGTGGTTTGTGTGTACATTTGAATAATGGTGGTATTAACTGGTCTTCGTTGTAGGTATATGGATATTATCCTATCACAGACAGCATTGTACTTAATGACAGATCTTGAAATGTTCTTTTTGATGGTTATTGTAAAGCCATTCTCTTCAATTTGTCGTTTCCAGAATAGTAAACCATATGATTGTCTGATTCAAAATGGCCAATACCAGTCCATAAGGAGCTGGGCTGCTAACCACAAGGTCAGCAGTTCTAATCTACCATTGCTCCATGGGAGAAAGGAATCTCCGCTCCCATGAAGACTTGCAGCCTTGGAAACCCTATACAGGGATGCTATGAGTCAACACCGACTTGATGGCAACCACCACCATCATTACCAATGCCTAAGATATCAATCATTATATGTTCAATTTCATTTTTGACTACTTAGAATGTTCCTAGATTCATACTTCATACATTTCAACTTGTGATTATTATTGGATGTTTGCATCTGTTTCTTCTCATTTTGAGTTGTGTTCCATCAGCAAATGAAGATCCCAAAAGCTTTGCTCCATCCCTGTCACTAAAGTCAACTCTACTTTGAGGAAAAAGCTTTGGTACCATAGTGGATTACATGTCAAGCTGCTAACCCAAAGGTCAGCAGTTCTAAAGCACCAGCCACTACATGGAAGAAAGATGTGGCTTTCTGCTCCCATAAATATTTACAGCCTCAGAAACACTATAGGATCGATATGAGTCAGAACTGACTTCACAGCACGTAACAACCTCCACCACCTATTTTGAGGAGGCAGCTCCTCCTCCGTTGTATTTTGAGTGTCTTCCAACCTGAAGAGCTCATTTTCTGGCACTCATACAATTTTAGGGAAGGGTTAGAGAGATGAAAACCCCACTTTCAGAAGAGTATAGAGTACGTGGGGGATATGCTGAGAAACTAAAATATTTTGAAATTTTTGTTTAATTAAAGCTTCTATGACTTTATAGCAATACTTTCTTCTATGTACCTATATATTTTCAAGTGTTTTGAAGCATATGGATAATTTTACACATGTATATGCACAGAAAATGGTAGTGAACAAACCCAAACTTATCTTTTAAATAAAGGATGCATGTTCCTAGAAAAATGTTTCTTAACCAAAATGACTTTGCAATAATAGTCTACAGTGCTGTGAAGAAATGAAATGTTTTAAAGGTTAGATATAGTGAAATAGATATACCCCCTGAAAGTATAATATTTTCATACAATATTTATACTAAATTGAACAAGTAACCTGCTTAACAGCGACAGAAAATAAAAACCTACATTCATGTATGGGCTGTGAATAATTTCTAGAATTTGGGGGGATTGATTGACTGAAATATATTATTTTAAATCAATTAATGCTCATATTAAAATTGGTTCAAGCGAAGGGAAGTTGGGTTGTATACCTGAGACCTGGAATCCTTTTTTTAAGGGAGAACCCACGGTGGGAAATAAGTCCTGTTGTTAAGTGCTGCTGAGTCAGTTCCGACTCAGTGAACCTATATGGTGTTTCTGAGGAGTAGCTGGTGGGTTTGAACCACTGACTTTGTGGTTCAAATTGATTTTGTGATCCAGTGTTTATCCTACATCAACACACCAGACTTCTGAAAGAAGTCCTAGATGGCAACTGTAGAGCAGAGGTCATCAAACTATGACCTACAGGCAAATTGGCCCACAACCCCTTCTTATATGACCTGTAAGTCAATCTAAAGAAGACATCCTGTAACATATGAAAATCATGTAAAATTGAAATTGATATTTGCGTAAAAGCCCACTTGTTCCTTACTTGTCTTCTATGGCTGCTTTCAGGCTACAATGTCAGAACTGAGTAGTCAAAGT